CGTCGTGTACGGAGCTGAAGTCTTGGACGTTGTGAATCTTGTTGACAAGGGACAGTGAGCCCATGGCCATGATCTTGACCAGGTCATGGGGAACAGGTTGGTCTTACGCGCGTTCGATGCACAGTAGGGCGTCCCTGAGGTATTTGCCGAGTTGCGTGGCGTTCTCGCGGAATCCGGCGGGCCATGCCACCTCTTGGGGCCACGAGGTCGCCATGATCGTCTGAAAACGCACTGGGCGATGCGTCAGACTACAGGCTATTCAATAACCCGTCGGGGAGGCGTGTACGTGCTGTTTGGGCCAAAAATTTGTTCTCGCTGTTGTGAAAAAGTTTTTTTCTTTCCTCCCCCGAGAAGATAAACTAATCGGGATGTGACCGCATGTAAGTTCAGGGACAGTGCAGCATGCACGGTATGTCCCACCCCTCAGACAGCGATGCCTTTGTGTTTTTGGCCTGGAGCGTTCTATTGCCCTAGCCTGAAACTCGCTATGGTAATTTACGGCGATGCTAATGATAGAATGACGTCAGGCTGACGAACCCGATGTGGACAACATCAATTTCTACTCGTTGGGCTGAGGGCCTGCTTCCTTAGCATATGAAAATTACAAATAAATTTTGCGGTGGGCAGAAGAGAATATTCCCAAGAAAACCTGCCCGTTGGAGGTTACAGCAGACTCGCAATGGTTCCTATAGTTCCTAACCATAGACAATAGTCACGTTATATAAAAGTCTCTTTTTTAAAGATTGCCTCTATATATAGCAACACTTACCGAGATTCGAACCTTACACAGACGAAAATAAATTAGTTCAATTCTAATTAGGATGATGGCTTCGTCCCACTATGGGCTTTACATTTCCTCCCGTCATAGCCGAGTTGAGGTTCTCAACTCTAGCAAAAGCACCGTCCTTTACAGCGTCGAAGTCCAGCCATCCATGCCGCAACTGTACATCTTCCGCCCCTCAACTAAGATGCCTTGTGACCAGCTCATCGCAATAGCCACTTTCCGCAGATTCTTCTCCAATGTTGACATCCAAATGGGCAACGACGAACATCTCAAACTACAACGAAAGAACGTCTTGTCGAGTATTCACATATTCAACGTCGCAGGATTTGAATGGGGCTGGAGGCGGGACGGGGTCATAACGGGTGATTTGAAGCTCATAAATGTGGCCAGCAATCAAACCATTGCAACATTTCATCAGGCCTGTTCGTCATCAAGAAAGATGCTGGGGATATTTGTAGTGTTCGGAACACACCAAACACAAATTATTGATGCGATCATTGTGACAGGCCTGGTCAAGCTTGGTTATCCGCGGCTTGTTCAGAGCGTCGTATGTGGGGCATAGATGGCGCTAGTGACATGGGCCACCCCTGTCGTTACTCCTTCATAAAGTGGCGGTTATGCGCGATCGTGATCTGACTCCCAGGATCCGACCCCGATCCTCCTTGTTGGGGTTGCGGACTTTGGGGCCCAGACGTGGCAGCCACTTGGGCGCAGAGCTGCCGCCTCTGTCCAATGCTTTTCAGACACGGAAAAATAGCTACACATGCTGGAGCTCCTTTGCCCTCAAATTTGTTTCCAACTTACCAGGTAGTTCATGCTGCGCAGAGCATCCTTGCCGTCCAGTACCTTGTCACGCACCTCGAGCGTCTGACATTTTATCTGCTCTACCTTCTTGACATGCATATCAGACAATGCCATCGTTCATATTTTGATTAACTACAATCGGGCCCTTATTCTAGGGAGATCATGCAACATGGAGGAATTGTATGCCACAATGTTGGTCATTTGTTGTGTTTCAACGCGTCGTCCACTCTTGAATGAAAGGGTCCCCAACACCAAGATGATCCAGACACAGTGATGGGGCATAAACGTGAACACCCACTTTTGAAGCACAACCCTGCTAAGACAGACTACTAGACTCGAAGTAGCTTCCTTCGCACCAATTGGTAGCAGCGGGAAGTGTTCCGTAAAACGTTTGAGGACGCAAGCTACCCTGAGACCCTTTATTACTTTTGCTATTACTATTATTAGTTAACTTGATTCAAGGGCTCAGGAGATCCTTATTCAATCTAGCACCAACATTGACCCGTATTGAGAGGTCGTACGTACTAGACCACGAAGACGTCAGGGTCCAACTACAGGCTGCAAAATCACGCAAGTCCACGTCAGTATCGATCTGAGGTCATCGCCGCATAGCAAAGTGTTTCTCGGTATATGTAGGCAATGGGCCAATGAACACTATGAGCTCCAGGAGGCCCTATTGGGTCTGCCGAACATGCAACACAGTCACTTGGCAGAGACGATATCGAGGCACGTGCGTCCAAATTTGTCGAAGATTTTTCGCCCATGCGTCTTGGCAAAGTGGCGGTTATGCTCGTTCACCTCCTCCTGCTGCTCGATCGTGAGCTGACTTCTCGGATCTAACCCGGAGCCGGTGATGTTCGAGTTGTACACTTTAGGCTTGGTAAACGCGGTATCGGACGACGAGCTGCCGCCGTCGCCAGTTTGGATGTTGTTGCTGGTCGAATAGGAGAGTGGTGATAAAGACGTTGTGAAGAACCGCCGAGGGATGATGATAATTGTTGCGCGGAAGATAGTATTGCACACTGTAGGGCACATTTGAGGCTGCGCGGAATTGATGTAACCGTGAATGGTGTATTCTGCGCTTGCGAATATTCGTCCTCTCCCAGCTGAGATCTTGGGTACAGGCTCTGTTTGAATGAAATTTTGTCAAAAGGAGGGCTGCATGGCAGGATTTATGGGGGAAGGTCCACTGCAAGTTGGCAATCTAGAGGTAGATCAAGGTGACCTGAGAAAAATGGTGGACTGATGAGCACCAGTTGTTCGATCTGCATTGCATGTGGGCGGCGCCAAAAGGTGAGGAGATGTCATAGTTTAGGAACGCTCTAGATTCCAAATTATCAGTTGGTGCCTAGATTACCCTTTGGTGAGTTCGTTGGTATCTGGCTAGCCCCAAGCCACTTTGGTCTGGGCACCGTCTGTCTGTCCTTTAGTACATGCAGCCACGTCTTTTTGTCTGTGCAAATATAGCTTCCTCTTTTCTACACTCTTGCATGTATAGTAAAACGGAGCACCCATATAGTAAAAGTTTGTATTCGCACGGATCACTTCTGACACCAGGAACCAAACTTTCGGAATCAAGCTCTACCGTATTCCACACATGGCATGGGGCGACCGACCTCTGTTTGACCACAACGATAAAGTTCGGGACAGCGAACGGCCAGGTGGTGGCGGACGAACCCAGTACGGCGGCGACGGCAACAGCCACAACCAGCACATATACCTCGCATGTCCATGCAGCTGTGCAAAGTGTATCGCGTTACAGCATCCAAATTCAACTGTTAAATTGCTCCTTTACTGCAGGGAAGTGCAACTATTATGACGCACGATTCTTTACAGTACAACAAAGCCACGCTAGTTTTTAATTCTTAAGGTAGTTTGACCTACAGGAGTCGCCAGGGCTGGTAAATTATTTATATAACCTGTTCCCAAGCGGCGGTGCATGCCCATAACGGCTACTTTGGCGCCATGCCGGATCTACCTTTCCACAACTTGGCCTCCTGTGGACTCTCACACTGTGGCCTGCTGAAAGGGTTGCGTGGCGCGTCTCACAAGGTCACGCAAATAGTGCCGACATCTTGTTCTGTAGGTTGCAATGTTAGGTATCAGTCGTGTCCCACTCATCTTACTACGCCTGGGGGCGAAGTCCTTGCTTGTGTCGCACCTCCATAGAACAACGAAAGTTTCCGTCTCAGCGCCGATTTAAAGAACCTTACTAGGGGCTTTTTCAGTCATAATGAACTAGATAGTCATTTCTGTTCGTTTGGAAGGTTTTACTTTCGTTTAGTTACATAATAATTGAACTATTGACGCTGATTGATCCTTCAAGTTTTTTGCTGCTTCAGGTGGCTGGCAAAATGCTGGGCCTGTACTAATAAGTTCTGCAAAATACGATGGGAGACTGCTGTTCAAGAACAGTTCCATCTAGCAGACTGAGCCTTCAGTAAGATTGATGCACCAGTATTTATTGATACGCCATATATCCCTTAAAATCCAATCGGTTATTTGTGTAACAGCTTATTGATGGCTTCGTCGTTGGAGGCTATGACAAATGCATAGGGGTGATCTGTACGAGTTGTAATACGTTGGCTTCGCTTTCTTCCTCAATATTGTTGATTTGATTATGAAGAAAAAGGCCCGACGGTATCGAGCACGTCTGGAATTCATTCATAGTACGTCCTTCCAAGTCCATTTACATCCGTTCCAGGCGAGGCAGAAAGGGCTCCGAGGAAACAGGGCAAGTCTATGACACAACTTGTACATTGGGCGATGTACCTCAGCTTGTACTTTCAACGAATGTCGGTGCCAACAGCAGTCCCAATGACAGCTGCGAAGCAGCAGCGGACATACTAGAGATACGAAACTGTTTGACAAGGCTTTTGACCCTTCAATAATCACCTCCTCCTTCCCCCTCTTCGTCCTCGGATATATTCAGCCGCTAATAATTAACTCGGTTGCGGAATCGTAGCCAGTCCGCTTGATTCACTCTCACTGCTAAGCAGCCCCTGTCAGTCCGGCTACCGGTGTTGGAAATTCTTAACCGATGCTCAAACCAATGTGCCTACGAATTTGTGCCCGTTCAATCTCCCAGTTAGGTCTTATTGCTACCAGTAGTACTAATTGGCCATACAACAGATAAAAGTTGGACCTACAACAGAAACTCTGGAGTTTGTTATAACCCAGGCACGTACTGCCCACGCTTCCCGCAACCTTAACCAAGAAACCCCCCTTTGACACAGCCACAAGGACTTCTAAGGTCTTTTTAATGCCCTTAAGCGTCATGATTGTAGTCTCCTTTCAACAGTCTCACTGCCGCAGGTCATCGGAAAGTCCGTCTTCCTGCCAAGCCTTGTCGAACACTTCTTTGAGCAAGATCTGTTGACGACGTGGCAGAAAGATTGACATACTTTCTAGGGCAAATTTAGCGTCTTTATACGTCAACAAGACAAATTGGATGCGCATTTCTAACCCAGGAGGCATTTGTCTGGCCACTCGCACGACAGGCAGCGCAGCATCCTGACAGAACCCAATGCTAGCATGATCGACGTGGGCAGTATAATGCGCAAACCTCGGCGACCAGGTAGATATGTCTGGGCCAAACATTGAAAGATCGAACATGCCGCCGACATAAACACGATTCATATTTTCACGTTGACATAGGGTAAACAGTATCTTGCTGAGCTCGTCGCCGTCTTCGCTCAGCGTGTTTGCTCGAGAGACACGGCTCCGAGAGCTTGGTCACAAGCAGGACAATCTCCTCGAAGAAATTGACGAGTTACGAAGCTCTAGTATTGGCCTCCAGACCTTGCCGCCAATTGTAGTCGTTGGAGACATAGCTTCAGGCAAAAGGCTCTCGATATAGGGAAGTCTTCCGATGGACCAGGGCAACGAACGATTGGTGGTCGAAAGACAACATGCGACCCCCCCTTCGAGCGGTGCACGGGCCACAACCGGACCCGATCCGGTTGTGGCCCGTGCACCATTCCGACCAACGGGCGACTAATAGGCGGACGGGGC